GCAGCCGCACATTCAACTTCCAGTAACCGGGGTAAATATGCACAGCACCCTCCCACGACAGATCTACGATCACTGCCCTATGATCCGAGAAACTCACGTCAAATGTCTACACCCTCCCCACCTCCAACCCCTGCATGACATAAATTCTGTCCAGTCTCGCTGCATACCCCCTATGAACAAACGTGTGCTCCACCATAAAGCCTCCCCCCCCCCCGCAACATCTACGACTCCCACGTCCCTCAACACATCCCTCAGAACACTTAAAACACAACCCGCCCCCCTCGGTTCCACATCCCGGCCACGTATCACACAATTCCAATCCCCACCTACAATCATGATGGCAGGCAATCCCCGCAGATACAATAATTCCTCCCTCATAAAATCCGCCTTCACCCGCATATTGCTCGACGCCGGCATATGCACTCCTATAAAACATGCCCTTCTATCACCCCATACACCATCAACCCGCACAACCCTCCCCCCTGCCTCCTCCCAACTCGTGACATGCAAGGGGTTGGTCTCCTTCATCGCTATCGCCACCTCCCCTTTCAAATGCCAAGCACAACTAACGTACAACTTATACCCATTCAACAACAACTCACTGCCGAACTTATGATTGTGTTCCTGCAAGAAATACACATCCACCTTGAATCTACATAAAAACCAAACCAACCATACAGTTTTGATCTCAGACCATTCACATTTAGGGTGACACACCTGAAAGTTATATGAACGGCGGCTTCCCTCTATGCCACTGTGGCTTGCCTACCAAACCTTTACCAGTACGTCAACCTGACGCCTCACCAGACTTTCCCTGGACCCCCTCCCCCGTTCACTGCATAACTCTGTCTCCACTGGATCCTTCCGATCCAACAACTCCTCCTCCGTTGCCCAAGCTTTTTTCCCTGGCCTCTGCCCCAGCGTGAGAACCTCCTCAACCTCAGCTGTGCCAGCCGTCCTCTTCCTTGAGCTGCCACCCACACACATTCCATGTCTGACAAATTCTCCTGATGGACCTCCATCTCCACCACTTGCTCCAAGCGAGTCCCACACAAGGTCCTTACCACAGGCTGCTGTTCCTCCCTCATGTCGGCCTTGCCAACACTTAAGGCACAGGTCCCCGACCCGCCCAAAAAACCTTTCAGTAAGTCCTCCCGAGGCACTTCGTTCCTTCTCGGTGGAGCCACCAACGTTCCCATCAACTCCCCAGAGCCCACCGGGAGTGTGACACACCTCTCGGACGTCCTTTCCTCTCGCTCAACCTCATCACTCCAATGACCAATTGTCTTTGCTTCCTCCTCTCCCAACTCCGACACCAACTCACAAGGACGCTGCTCCACAGCCAACATCCCAGGATCCCTGGGAGCCTGTCTCCTAGGGCATTGTGCCGCCACATGATCGTAAGAGCTACATAAGCGGCAGGTCCTTCTCTGGCCGGCATAGTGCACAAAGACTTGCGTCCTGTAACTAACCAACGTGACATAGGATGGTATAGGCCAAGCCAGAGTCATTTTGAGGGTATAGGAACCCTTCGGTAGCCCTCCTATGGCCCATCCTTCCATACTCCCATAGTAGCAGAATGGACCTTTCCATAACTGTTGAATGCCTCTTGTATGCTATACGCAGTCGCCTCAAAAGGTACGTTTCTCACCTTTACCCACGTAAAGTGCTTAGATACGTCATGCAAGACGACGTCCACCGCCGAGTTCACAGTCATCCTCCGCTCTTGGTACTCGTCAACGATCCTGTCATAGAAGCTGGCACGATTCATTTTCACGAATACTCCGGACATCCCGTTTAAAGCCACACCATATACTTCATCGTTGGGGACACCAAATATGTCTCTGATGATGGCAGGCAGCAAGGTGTTCATTGTACCTCCACTGAGCGTGCCACAGACCAGCTCAATGCAAACAGTGTTGATCCTCTGTTCCACTCGAACTGCCATCTTGGCTTCCAGATGCAAAAAATCACCACCAGAGGGCAGTCGCAGCAAACTGGGCGAGCGTCCTCTCTCCCCGGACGTCGAGAGAGGAATGACGTAAGAGTATTACTCAGTGTTGACGGCTCCTTTCAAGGTAGGAGCACCTTAGTCCTAAATATATGTATTCACTGGAACGGAAGAGAGATACATGATAATATATACGTGTAAAGTACATGAGGGCTTAGTCCCAAATCTACACACTGCCATAACAACATACTAGAACAAAAGATATGGGAGAAAATGTAAAATAAACACACTGAAAAGCAAGAACGCTGTAGGCACAATAAGAGCATACCGTATCAACATCTGTGGGCCCAGACTGCTTATCATATTACCAGAAGAAATCAGAAACACTGCTGCAACAAGTGTAGAGGTGTCAAAGAGGAAACTCTTCAACAATATCTCCCGTCAGGTGCTGGACCAATCAGGCAATGATGAATATGTAGGCCAGCGGGCTGCCAGGAGCAACAGCTTCATTGAGCAGGCAAGCACCAGACATCTTGGTCTAGAACAAGGCTATAGTAGAAAAACTCACGAAACCCGTCAGAGGTAAAAGTAAAAATGTAAAGTTGGGGGAAAGAGAGAAAAGGATAGAGGAAGAGAAGATTGTACGGGGTTGGAAGGGGAGAAAAAAAAATTTGGGGGGGGTTGGAAAGGAAAAATGTCGACGTCAACCTTCATCAAAGGTGGAAAAAAGACACTGTATATCTATATGATTTTTTTTATTACAAGGTTCCATCACAGTCATACTGCAACTACCACTTGTGTGCTCACAACCACTGTGGCATGCAAAGAGTATGTAACCTTTATTCGGTGCATGTACACACCCTCATTGAAAGGCTATCTCCCCCAACCAGCAAACCAGGTGCTAAGGGTTAACGATGGGGCCCCCGTCGTTCAATCAGTACCCAGGTTCCAGCCAATGAGAAGATGGTTTTGGCAATCGCAGAGGTGATATGGGTACCACTCACCTGTCTGCCCTTGTCATTCCCATTCTAGAGCTGGTTGAAGCATGGTCTGCTCTCTAGTAGCTTCTATTCTGCTTTGCTTACCGTGGAGTGCACTAATACCTATTGTTGTACATAGTGTATATAGTGTACATACTTCTGTTCTAAATTGTTGAAGGATAATACAAGTCAAAAGTTTTTCTGCTGTGTTTTTTTGTTCCCTTTACACCCAGGATAACAGGCCTTTGGGACTCCTGGGTTGTAATAACCATACTACAACTACCACTTCACTAATAATCAAATTTTGGTTTATTAATAAAAGGCAAACTTGCAATGAGCGGCTTCGCTATTCTGTATAAAAGTTACATCATGGGCATTCCCGCAGTGAGCTGCTACTGTACTCCACAAGATAGCTACACAGTGAATATAAGCCCGCTATGTTTAGTGTTCACCTGTCATGTTCCATCACACAGGACGGATCTGGTCCACAAGATAAAGAAATGTGTCAGCTTGAGCTGTGAGACTTAACCATGGCGGTGAGGGTACCATCAAACTTTCCACTATGGGTTCAGGAGACCGATGAGGCTAGTGTGGATGATGAGGAAACGATGAGAGACATTTCCTTTTTTTTTTTTTTTTTTTTTTTTACACAAATCAGTTTTATAGGTTAAGAGGTATCCTAACTCAGATCGTTTCAAAACCTAGCCCTATCTAAGAGATACTACCACCCTCAAGATACGACGTACAACAGTCGACTAACATCCAGGTACCTAGTTACTGCTAGGTGAACTGGGGCAGCAGGTGTAAGAAAACAGGCCAAACGTGTCCATCTGTACCGGGATCGAACCACGGACACTCAGTATGTGAACCGAGTGTGCTGCCAACCGAGCCACGAATAAAGTACCACGTTATAACAAGTGTAGTCTACATTTTAAACCACAACGTTTAATTTTTAACTAAAATTACGTTAAAGTTGTAAAACACAGCAGTGAGCATTACCTGGTCCTGGCAGAGTTCAGTAATTATCCCAGTTTGTTACAACTTCCCGAGGAGACAACTGAAATAATCACCGTTACAATAATAACTGGGCTAACTTATTACAATAAACAAATCTGAATTGCTGACTACATCTTAGTAAAAAAAAATGCAGTTTACCATTACTACTTAAACTTATATCTTCAGCTATTAAGTCAAATACGAGTTTAACTAGCAGACTATTATTAAAAAAATAAAATCTAAATGCTAAGTACATGCATATGCACAATACTTCAGCTGAAGCCAGAGCTAATTTCACACATTTGAACACCAACGGAAAAAGAGGGCGTTGCCCACACTAGCCGCCATTGTGGAAATATTACAGTGTTTTGTACCTCATCCCCGCTGTAATCATTCCCTCTATGGACATCTTATTAAAATTGCTTATAAATGCTACCAGCAGTTACTTTAATTCCGTTAATACATTATAATTAGCCAGGAATGTTAAGGAAAACGCCCTTTTGTCGACTATTATCCACCACCAACCATGTTTTGAAAAAATGGTGATACAAAATGCTGAGACTTAAGATGCCAAATGATTATTTATATTTTGATGAATATTTAAAGTTATACTTCATAACTGTAACCAAACTTCACTTCTGGCGTGTCACAATCTCTTAGGTTTGAATCCTATCGCCTGCACGAGGGTTATGAAGGTCACAGCTCAGCTCGAGTCCTGGACACTGACATCAACTATATATTAATTCCGAAGATGATTAATGTAAACTCAGAGTATATACACTGATATGCACACACGTCTCGGTGTGTATACCACCACCACTTTTATCTTTTTATACTGTACCTTCACCCTCACTTGCTTTTTGTCTTCCCAGACGTCACAACATCAAGTTCGACTGGTCTACAGAACAGTAACAGCCCAACCTGTATTTTAAAGAATACCACGAGTGGTTTCTTCAACCTGAAACCATTCATGGCTCTGAGAGGACTAACCAGCGGCAGCAAAGACTAACTCAAAGAGGACTAATCAGCGATTAATAGGTAGTACTCAAAGAGGACTAACCAGCGGTACTCACCCTTGTAGTAGTAGAGGCAGTACTCGGAGAGGACGAACCAGCGTTTCTTCCAGAGGTGGAGTCCATCGGCACCTTGCTTGTAGAGCCACCCTTGTAGAGTAACCGCCGACACCTGTGGACGCCGTAGCCCAGGTGTCTTCACCCAGGACCCACCTAGCCGCCTCCGTCCCACCTGTACGAGAAGAAACACGTGTTACTACAACCAAGACTCAGTCATTACCACTTACATTAATATTTACATCTTACTCATTTCCACTTTACGAGAATATATTTAATTAATCTATTTTACGTAAATATAATTCATTCTCCATCAATATAACCCACTTCACGTCTATATAATCCTATAAAGGACTTGTTTATTTGGTAGGCTGTAGAGCGGTGTTAATGATAAACGTCTTCAGAGGCTTCTTAATTTATTGTTAAGTAGTGGTGGGTTACACAGGCTTGTGTGTTTGTGCCCATGGCCCGGGAGGGCCATGCCCACGAGAGAGAGCTGGGAGTACTTGTGTCTTGATGCCAGGCCGCTGTGTGAGTGCGGGTGAGGCAAGTCTGGGCATACTGAAGTGGCAAGGCCTATAGATGGCAGCACTTGAGTGGCGCGAAATATGAACTAAGCTGGCAGACAGCATGGGCTGTCTGTGCAGACAGTACAGGCTGTCTACATACGCTCGGCCACCTATCGCGCGTCGTCCCGACGCGACAATACTGGTAGTAAAAGAAACTCGGTCTCTCTCTCGTAGGAACAGGGCACAGAACACAAAATAAAAACATATATATACATATGGACATGGAAAAAAAAACTTCCTACGGGGAGGAAAGAAAAAAAAGTGGGGTGTGCTAAACATCGTGGTCATAGGCAGTGAGCATCGAAGTGTATCACTGCACGCCTTCCTGCGTCGGGACAGATATTTGCAACAGGGGAGACATCGCTGCGGCTGAGCTGTGACGTAACAGGGTACGGTCTCCTCTGGAACGGTGAAGCAGACATCGTAGGAGTCGCTGCAGGTTTTAAACTCAACCTGGGCACGACATGCTGGTGCCCTCGAGTGAGGCGTCGACAAAACTCGGCAACTGGGCGGGACTTCTGGCAAGCGACCAGGAGGACACTTCTCGACTGGAAACTGTCGCTGGGCTATCACGGGCCGGGCGAGCGTGGAGCGATTTTGTGGAGCGAGTCGTGGCAGAGACGACTGGGCAAAAACATCTGGAGTCGTAACATCATACACCAGACTGCAGTGAGAGAGCTAGCAGTCAAAGTGACATCTTCTTTGTCCCGGGCTGCTCACTGAAGCTTGTGACACGGGGCGACACAGCCCCTGCCGACAGGCCTGGCGCGGCTTGACGAGTTCATCTCTCGACAGGTGGATTTTATAGCAGAGGTTAGTCTAAGCGTCCCCAGACTTGTTTCTCTACATAAAAATGAAACTCTGAAGGGTCTGGAGGTGAAGTGAAACAAATCTCGAGGGGAAATCGTAGCAGGTACGATTCTACAGAAAATCACGAGCGACGAGCATAAAAGCTTTCTGTACAAGGGGGCTCATACGCTCAGGGCTGAGAAATCAGCTGTCAAACACATGGTCACGGTGACTTAGGGGTACAACCCCAAGGGTCTGACCACAGACCTCACTGGACACACGGAAAACTTACAAACCACACCGCTGTACATACGGTACAACATGGCTTAAACTAGCAAAAGATGCTTTTCTGCGCATAAAACTGACTAAACATACTAAAATGTGAGAACACTGGGCTGAGAGGAATTAATTAACACACGACAATATTTTCTCTCAATCTTCTCGACAATACTGAAATAATTACTAGAACACTCGATGTGACATCATGTGATTTTCAGGCGTGATGTCGCAAGGTGACGTCAGCAGCAGTGACGTCAACAGACATCTCGAGGTGACGTCAGGCAGACATCGTGAGGGGACGTCCCGCAGACATCGTGACGTCAGCAGACATCGTGTGACGTCAGCATCTCGAGGTGACGTCAGGCAGACATCGGAATACGTCGAGACATGTGAGGTGACTCAGCAGACATCTCGAGGTGCGACATCGTGAGGTGACGTCAGCAGACATCTCGAGGTACGTCGCAGACATCGTGAGGTGACGTCAGCAGACATCGTGACGTCAGGGAAATCGGGCCGCATCGTGGGTGGGGTCGATTGATGCGGGGAGCAAAACCACAGCATAGGCCTTGGGACATCTGGGAACTCACGTGCTTTTGTAGGTCTACGTGACATCGGCCACACCCAACGTGGTGTCGATCCACGTGGTGTCGTGATCTACGTGGGATGCTGATCCACGCAGCTTCGAGTGGCCTCGGGCACTCGGATACACAGCACTGGCAAAGAATTCAACGAAAAAAAAGCAGAAAACACAGCAGAGGGAGTGGGCATGGTGAGTGGTGTATGGTAGGCTGGCGGCGAGGAGCGTGCGTGTGTATGGCAGGGCGGGCATGGGCAAGGTGAGGAACAGCCACTTCCTCTCCTCTCCTCCCCCACCCACAAACACGTGGAGAAGCTCACACTGGACGCAGAAATCACCACAAAACTCACCTCTGGCTTGCTGAAACAGCTGTGCTGAGCTGAACAACAACAGCAACATACAAGTGACGCTGAACACGTGACTTGAGAAACAGCGTGGGGTCACTGGGACGCTGTAGCGTGGGGTCACTGTGACGCCACTCACATTTCTCGGAGAATTTCGATAAATTTCGGCTGGATCCTGCTTGTACCTGTGTCTGGATGCTCAAACGTGCAGACACGACATCAGGATAACTCGTTGAGAGACGGATGCTTCTTATGTAGGGTGATGAAGTGAAGGTGACTTCATACCTCTCCTTCCTCTCTCCAGGGTAAACACAACGCTGCGACCACCGCTGGTACCAATTATAATGGGGGTTATTTGGTAAGACTGTAGAGCGGTGTTAATGGTATACTTCTTCGGAGGCTTCTTACTTTATTGTTAAGTAGTGGTGGGTTACACAGGCTTGTGTGTTTGTGCCCATGGCCCGGGAGGGCCATGCCCACGAGAGAGAGCTGGGAGTACTTGTGTCTTGATGCCAGGCCGCTGTGTGAGTGCGGGTGAGGCAAGTCTGGGCATACTGAAGTGGCAAGGCCTATAGATGGCAGCACTTGAGTGGCGCGAAATATGAACTAAGCTGGCAGACAGCATGGGCTGTCTGTGCAGACAGTACAGGCTGTCTACAATCCACTTCACGTCAGTATAATCCACTTCACGTCTATATAATCCACTTCACGTCAGTATAATCCACTTCACGTCAGTATAATCCACTTCACGTCAGTATAATCCACTTCACGTCAGTATAATCCACTTCACGTCTATATAATCCACTTCACGTCTATATAATCCACTTCACGTCTATATAATCCACTTCACGTCTATATAATCCACTTCACGTCTATATAATCCACTTCACGTCTATATAATCCACTTCGCGTCAGTATAATCCACTTCACGTCAGTATAATCCACTTCACGTCAGTATAATCCACTTCACGTCTATATAATCCACTTCACGTCTATATAATCCACTTCACGTCTATTAACCCCACTTCACGTCTATAAAATCCACTTCACTTCTATAATCCACTTCACGTCTATATAATCCACTTCACGTCTATATAATCCACTTCACGTCTATATAATCCACTTTACGTCTATATAATCCACTTTACATCTATATATATAATCCACTTTACAACTATATAATCCACTTCACGTCTATATAATCCAATTCACGTCTATATAATCCACTTCACGTCTATATAATCCACTTCACGTCTATATAATCCACTTCACGTCTATATAATCCACTTCACGTCTATATAATCCACTTCACGTCTATATAATCCACTTCACGTCTATATAATCCACTTCACGTCTATATAATCCAATTCACGTCTATATAATCCACTTCACGTCTATATAATCCACTTCACGTCTATATAATCCACTTCACGTCTATATAATCCACTTTCACGTCTATATAATCCACTTCACGTCTATAAATCCACTTCACTTTCTATAAATCCACTTCACGTCTATATAATCCACTTCACGTCTATATAATCCACTTCACGTCTATATAATCCACTTTACATCTATATATATAATCCACTTTACATCTATATAATCCACTTCACGTCTATATAATCCACTTCACGTCTATATAATCCACTTCACGTCTATATAATCCACTTCACGTCAATATAATCCACTTCACGTCTATATAATCCACTTTACATCTATATATTCCACTTTACATATATATAATCCACTTTACATCTATATAATCCACTTTACATCTATATAATCCACTTTACATCTATATAATCCACTTTACATCTATATAATCCACTTTACATCTATATAATCCACTTTACATCTATATAATCCACTTCACGTCAGTATAATCCACTTCACGTCAGTATAATCCACTTCACGTCTATATAATCCACTTTACATCTATATAATCCACTTCGTCAGTATAATCCACTTCGCGTCAGTATAATCCACTTCACGTCAGTATAATCCACTTCACGTCTACATAATCCACTTCACGTCTATATAATCCACTTCACGTCTATATAATCCACTTTACATCTATATAATCCACTTCGTCAGTATAATCCACTTCACGTCAGTATAATCCACTTCACGTCTATATAATCCACTTCACGTCTATATAATCCACTTCACGTCTATATAATCCACTTTACATCTATATAATCCACTTTACATCTATATAATCCACTTTACATCTATATAATCCACTTCACGTCAGTATAATCCACTTCACGTCTATATAATCCACTTCACGTCTATATAATCCACTTCACGTCTATATAATCCACTTTACATCTATATAATCCACTTTACATCTATATAATCCACTTTACATCTATATAATCCACTTCACGCAGTAAAAAATCCACTTCACGTCAGTAAATCCACTTAAACGTCTATATAATCCACTTCACGTCAAATATAACCACTTTACATCTATATAATCCACTTTACATCTATATAATCCACTTCGTCAGTATAATCCACTTCACGTCAGTATAATCCACTTCACGTCAGTATAATCCACTTCACGTCTATATAATCCACTTCACGTCTATATAATCCACTTTACATCTAT